GCTGTGACAATGGCTCTCCAGACTGATAGCAGTTCAAATGTTTACCTTCAACTTAATCAAGACAGTTGTTGCAAAATGGCGCAGAATTTTCAGAGATCCTTTTTTCCTCAAGGCCAGCTTTAATGCATGTAAAATGACTATAGAAGGATTAATTTGAAACAACGTCTCTTCATTCATGAACACAGACATCACATTATTATCACATACAGTGAAAGCTCATCCAGAAATTTAATAGCCTCTAGGAATTCCAAGTCAGATGCCAGCAATATTTCAACATGATTGGATGTCAATTGGGCTTGCTGCTTATCAGCAAAATTGTATTAAATGAGCAGTAAAATGTCATGGGATCTTTGGCATTCCTCTATCACTCTGCAGACTAAAATATCTTTTGATTAATTGTGATGTGTCAAAAATATCCATAGCCCCAACTGAAGGGTTTTTTGGGTTTCACACAGGTCTTCCTTTCAATCCCTCCAGAAATTCCAGTTTTATTAGCATAAATATTATTACTTTCCTTTAAATTTTTCAGCTTTTAAACCCCTTAGTAATGAAAATAATTTTAACATGATTTAAGTTTGCAATGAGAGTTATTATCAAAATCTGATAGTTACAACCAATAATCATTCATAGCTTGCATGGGGGGGAGGTGGCAATCAAACCATTGATAAACACTTGACATTTTTTGGACAATTTTTTAAGGAGGAAAGAATGAGGGCTCTTCATATTAACAAGAGTATTTAGGGTTTTAAGCTAATCTTGTACATTATGTGAGGTTCAGCTTTCATGTTATAGTCACCTAAAAAAAAATGTAGAAAAAATGTCAAGAGTTCATGGTTCAATTGTCACTACTGTAGATGCACAGGCATTTCAACAAGATTTTTAACGGGAGGGCATCAGGATATGGCATCTGGGCAAAAGATCAAAGCAAGCAAGAGGGTCCAGGGGGCATGCACCCCTGGAAAAGTTCTACACCTTGTAGAGATGGGTTTTCCTGCAATTTGGACCACAAAAATCGGCACCACTCAGTTGCCTAAAAAAGATCATTATAGATAACTACATCTCGCCTCAAATCCATCATTACAGGTGGATTTGCTCATAGTTTTGACATGTTTAAAGTGGGCTCTCATGCCGAACATATTTTGCTTTTGCAATGCACTGATCAATGGGCAAATTTGCTCAACCTAGTTCCCAGGGTCTCTCCAGCCCTCCCAGAGTGAGAGAGGAGAGACCCTGGAAAAGGCAGGTCACGTGCTTCTTGGACAATTGAGAACATCAGGGGGGGGTCCTCTCTAATCAGGAAATTTGTTGGGTTGAGCTTTGTCGAATTCAAAGCATCACGCTGCAACAGCCATTACCCCTGATGTTCAACAGTAGCCTTCTGCCTGCAATTTCAAATAGTATTTATTCAAAGTTAAGCAAGTCTGTCTCGAATTTACCATGCATATGGTCGTGATGTTGTTGTGGTCTTACCAACTGGATATATGGAAAGTCAGTCATATTTCATCTTCTTCCTTTGTTGTTTCTCAATAAAAACAACTGTGGACGTCAAGCAGCACAAGCTCATCCTGTAGTAAATGTTGTTTCTCCTTTGAACGCACTCAATCAAATTGATGCAAGAAACATAAGAACATCTCTAGACAAACATACAGTATAGCTTTCTCAAAGTAAAGCTATGGTAGTCTCTGAAGAAAAGCCTCTACACAGAAAGGGAACTTGTTAAACAAGTGCTCAAAACAAGATTTTATTTCAATTACTTTACTTGTTATAGTGGTACCGATTCTCAAGGTAGTCAGGAATTTATTCCAAACTTTTCATTTAGATGGTTCGATACGGTTCAGATTTCGAGTGATTGCACGCATGTGACCTAAAAACCGTTGATTACCCTTTACCGGCAGCCGGCCCTTAGCAACAACCCTGACTCAGCCAACAAGACCAAAGGGTGGGGAAGGGAGAGTGAGGAGTGGATATGTTCTGGGTGGGGGGAGACTGGGGATAACAATGTAAGGGCTTAGCTATAGGGGATAGAGGCTTGGCAAAAGTTAAGATTCTCAAGATCGCAACATAATGAGCCAGCCAGGGACTGGACCTGACATTAGCCACAGTATTTTCTACATTCTAAGGTCAATGTGTTTCTTGGTTTACACTAAAAATATCTAGAGAGTTAAATAAATTAAGGGTTGGTAAAAACCGAAAAAAATAAAATCAATTTAAGTCCAGAAACAACATTCAGATAAAAGGACAAAACGGGGATCAAGGAAGTTATTAGGAAGTATTATCATCCGTTTTCACAGCCAAGTTTCTGGACATTCAAAACAATGTTACCTGTTCCACAAACACTGTCACTGGTTGCCACATCATGTCAAGACACCCATCAGAATTCTTCCTTACTTCAGTCAGTTTTTTTTATGTATTATCAGATGGCTTATACATGTTCACTAGACAATTTAGAACCAATGTTGTAAGACCTCTTGTTCTGTATCTCCAGTGAGCATGCAAGCAACCACCAACATGTAAGTAAGGCTTACATGTAGTCTGAGTCAGGTCACTGGCCCATACAGCCCAAGCTTTTCATTGCAATAATCCAGTTCCATCGGTTGTGGAACGTGACATCTGGCGACGAGGATTGAAGTTGCAACTGCCCAGACCATGGCGTCAATAAAGATAGACGATTTGACGAGTGTAAAACCCTTCGACCCACATGGTAAACCTTCAGGCGTGGGAAGGCGATGGCAGCGTTGGTTGAAAAGTTTCTCGATGTA